ACCAGCAAGGTTGTTATACTTGCGCCGCTTGAGGTTTTCTGCAGAGGCAGCAGCCGAACCAGCACAACTCGCCGTTACTGGAAGATGAGAAGGTGCAAGGGTGTCGACGCAGGTTGCGTCCCACACCAAAGACTTTCCCAGCTTCCAGGGCATAATGGACATACCGTCGGGTCTCTTACCATCGTCGCGTGCCAAACCCTTTGGTTCCAGAACAGCTGGGACACCGGCGATGATAAGAGCTCGACGGATAATGTCGTTAATGCTGGCGTGTCGAGCTATCCGGCCCGCGCTTCTGCTACGCGATAGGCCGTGGTGGCAGAGGTGGTCGACCATCTCACCGCATTGACAGCGATGCGGAGTAACACAGGGTGCACCTACACGCAAGCAAGCAGCAAGCCGAAAAGTTGAGTCATTCAACGTCGTGCCAATATTGAGTGACGGAAGTACCTGAAGCCAGAGGCCTGATTTCCACTCACCCACAGCCAATAGGCGAGCTAACTCCGCAGGATTGGTGCTCGTATTAATTAGATTATTATGCACCAACCTGCAAAGCGGCTCGTCCCATTGTCTCTGGGAGGAAGGGTTGACATATCTCGTGACCAGAGGGCTGGTCTTTTTCTCGGTCAGAGGTTAAGCATTGCCATACAACGTGGCTATGCTGCCAGCCTTCTGGGTACTTTCCCCACTGACGTCGATGCGGACGAATTTTTCGATGCTTTTTGTAAATAGTTGTTTTTGTTTTTCTTTTATATAATTTTAATCTTAAGTTGTATATATGTTATTATTAATTTAGTAATACAGTGTAGTTAATTTTAATTTTACTTAAGTTTTTACTAGAAATTTAATAAATGACACTTAACCTGTACTGCCTCGTTATCCTATGGTCGACGATCCCAACCTACTGGTTTTACTATGTTAGTCGATTTTCAAATTCTTGATTCCCGAAGTATGGCAATTGTGACACCACATATTATTATTGTGTTGAGACTAATAATAGCACTAGTATTTTACAATGCCTGACTTT